ATTGAAAAAAACCGGGAAATCGGACAACCTTGACGAACGCCACTTGTGGTCGGAAAGCTATCCGACAGGACACCATAGAGCTTGACGCGGCCTGTAGTGTTCGAGTATAGAGCACGAAGGATGTTCACATATTTCGTGGGAACACCTTTCCGCGCAAGTATTTCGAACAGAATCGATCGATCGACTGAATCGAACGCACTCTTGAAATCGAGGAACACAGCTATTGTCGGTCTGTGGTATGCGTGGCGCTGCTCTAGCACCTGCCGCAGTGTGAATATATGGTCTATACAGTCACGTCCTGGACGGAAACCTGCCTGCTCTTCCCTAATCCGAGATTCCCGTTCTGCAGTGAGGCGAGGAATGAGAATCGAGGCCAGTAATTTTGTCACAACTGGCGTTAGGCTAATACCCCTGTGGTTCGCACAGTCAGTGCGACTGCCCCTCCTGTATATTGTCACTATTATCTATTTGCTCCAATTAGCCGGCACACTCCCTTCGTTCCAGATACGTTCGAATAGGGAGGTCAGTGACCTGCAGAGGACCTCACCTCCATCCATAAATGGTGCAGGTAGGAGAGAATTCGGGCCAGCTGTACGAAAACTATTGTAAGCTGAGATCACGTTCCGAACCTAGGCCTTCGATAGAGGCTCTAAACTAACCGTCCATGGCTCGTCCTGCATCACCTGAGTAAAAAGAGGTCCGTGAGCATGGAGCCAGCTAAACTGATTTCGAAAGTGTTCTGCCCAACGAGCCGTACGGCGCTCCTTATTGCGAATCAGTGTACCCAAGCTGTCTCTGATTATCACAGTGACGCCGGGTTTCCTAGGACCAGTGGTGTGGATCAGCTGGAAGAGCTTGCGGTAATTGCCTACTGCTCCTGTCGCCTTCGTTTCTCAAGAGATAATGGTCCACCAGGCGTCCTTGTCAGCACGTAGGCTCCGCTTTAGTTCACGTCTAATAGCCCGTTTGGTCGCATTGTGCTCAGAACCAGCCGGGAGGTGTCTTCCAGTTTCCAACAGGTTCACTGACCTCTCAGATATCCAGTGACTGGTGAGGTAACGGTTGATAATGCCAGAAGGAGATGCTCCTGCATCGTGCGTGGCGGCCGAGATCCTATTCCAGGGAAGTTCAGTGTCATTAGGACAAGATAGCGAGAGTTCGGTACGCAGTGCGTCTTGATAGGCTTGCCTAACCGATGGTTGAGACAATTTCTCCGTTGCCAATCGGAGGGGACGCTTGGTGCGCCTCCCGGTAAAGTTCATGGAGAAATGACAGCGTACCAAAGCATGATCAGAGTCGACGCAGGTATTCCAGTACGAGCGGCAATCCAGGATGGAAGCACGCCATCTGTAACTTATGGCTACGTGGTCAATTTGGGTCCATCGCTGGCCAGCTACAGGAGGAGACCAAGTGGCACTTCGGCGCTCACTGTGTCTAAAAGTGGTGCTACTAAGAAACAACTGGTGCTCCGTACAGACTTGTAGCAGATGCTCGCCGTTGTCAGTCCGTTCGGAGTTAAGCCCATAATTACCACCCAGCGGAGCTTCTGAATAGCTCAGACGCCCTACTTGTGCGTTCATATTCCCAGCAAGTACTACAATATCTGAACTAGTATTACTGCGTAGTGGCGCGTTCAGTTCGTGATAGAACGTGTCCTTGACAGCATTTGAACTGCAGTCGGTGGAAGCATAAGCGGAAATCACAAACAGAGTTTTGTACTACTTCGCGAATCAATCTTAGCTGATGTCGTCAAACGGGTTGCACATAAACGGCTGTTCATCGGAATTCAATCAACCAACGATGGCTCAGCCTTGGAGCTTAGAATGATACCTACACCAGCTTGACCCGTGAGCGCTGTATCGGGGTCTCCGGATGCGTGCAAGCAATAACGACAGGACAAGGCAGGCGCAGTTAATCCAACAACCCCATTAGCGTCATTGATCCTAGTTTCGGACACATAATAATAAATAATGTGTCAGTTGTACGTCGTAACGGCGTTTCGCTGCCGCGCAAATACCACCAGTGGCGCGCGGGCTGAGTATACCGCGAGGACGCCCACCCCTACGCGGATTTCGGACACAAGACACACATCAATACTCAGTGTGTCCAAGGTGCGTGCGAGTGCAGCCTGTTGACCTATTTGTCTTAGAGTGCGAACGTTGAACGTCGCTATGGAAACGGGACAGTGGGGCCTTAGAAGGGAATGTTGCTGATAGGCGTCCGGTGCGTGTCGCGAGAAGGTTGCTGCAGATGGTTCTACTCCTGTGGCACTTCGGTTGCTGTCAATTAAGCTGGGAACTATAGAAGGAAAGTTAGTAATGGGGGTCGGGATTGGAGTAAGAGAAAGAGGTGGAAAAGAAAGGAGGCGCCAGCAGTAGCATGTTTTCGCGTATTCGCCCTGCTGTATGTAGCAGATAAGGCGACCATTGATAATCTGCGCGACGGCCGATGCAGGATGAAGTTTATGTTGGAAAAAGCTTTGGACAAGCCAGCCAGTCGGACAGCACAAATGCGGCTACTGATTGGGATCCAAACAACCAGAGCAGCTTCAACGCGCGTACTCAGGGCAATACCAACACCGATTTGGTCGGCATTCGAAGCTGCATCGTCTCTGGATAGAAGCAATGAAAAAGTGCTGTTAGTCTCACATGAAGCGCATCCCAAAGCCAGCAGTGCTCGAATCTTGCAAGCGGGTTTCTGAAAAGTAGCAGATATCGACCGACAGGGTTTCTGATTTTCGGGAAAGTGTTTCCAGTTGATCGAGTTTTAATGATGTGCGCACGTAGAGGCATGCTAGTCTTAGAGAGGATCAAGGGCTCCAAATAGAAACCGATGAATTAGGCATGACCGCTTGTTTAGACAGGGCCTGTCGATAGGACAGAAGTGACAGCCCACGCTTGCATGTGAGTTGAAATCAGAAGATAAACGCCGATCAAAGCAAGGTGGAACAGAGCCGAGAATTGAAGGCTGAAAAGGAAGGGGAAAATGAAGTTGGAAAGGGATAATGAGGGTGCAAAGTTTTAGAGGGGGAATAAGAAGATGGGAAGACTTGAACAGTAGCATCCAAACCCTATCCACCCAGCATGATGCAGCAGATAGGGCGCGATTGATGATCCTCTGCGACAGCCAAAGCATAAGGAAATGGTTTGAAGGTAAAGTCAATGTATTGCCCCGGCTTAGACAGCAGAACGGTTAGGGTTCTCAAACAAAGCCTTAAGTTCAAAAACTTAACAGCAAGGCAGCGGGTTTGGCAGTGGGCTACAAAGAGTCCGTTTTATGGAATAAGGAGAAACTATCACTCCAACCCCCAATTTGGAGGATCAGAAGACTGAGTTCGTCTGGCCTCTAGCCATTAACCAATCTGGTTGGGTGGCTCTAAAGGTGCAAAAAGCCTCATGCAGTATAGAGCAATGGGTCGCTGAAACACGCAAACCATTGCACAAGGGTGAGGTCTAGCCTCATTGCGTTGGCTACGCCCCATCAACTGCGGCCATAACCGCTTTTTTCTCTAACTCGGTAAGAAGAGGTTTGTGGAAAACAGAGTAAGGAGAAAAAGCACTGGTCTGTCAAAAGACGGTAACCTTCGGTTGCCAGTTCCAGAAGGGGTTCTATTCGAGGATTCTCACCTCTGGCTTTTGACTTCACAGCCCGATACACGACGCAGAGGGCTAAATGGAGGTTTGAGTGAACCACTTCACCTGGAAACATCGACTCGATATTTCGACATACAGGGCAGTGGGAAACATGTTCACCCAAATAGTCGCTACCGAGTCCCATTCAGACATGTCTAAGGCAGGCTTACATCACTGAAAAATGCATAACAAATCATGTATAGGTCTCGAACGTATCATGAGATGCATCTACGAATATGATCGATGGCAGGAGTGGGTTTACACCCTTTTGAATGAGTGCCAGTCACATACCGTCAGACAGATCGTGACGTCCGCACACTAAGTGAGTCGAACTGAAATTACGGTTCGCAAACTACTTTCTTCCACGGCCGCATTGCAGGGGAGGAGTGGCTCTGAGAGCGCCCAGAGATCGCCACCCAACATAACAAAGCGGACGGTCCGTAGCCTAAAGTTAACAATCTTGCTCTGTGATCGGACGGCGCGAGTTCGAGCCTGCGTAGGGACAGGGCGACCGATGCAGTACCATTAGCCTAGGTGCGCGGCAGCGAAGCGTCGGTACTGCGCACCGACCTACTGCTGATGCCTTCGCTGTTGAGAAAACCATAGAAGTAACCACGGTGCACTTCTTAAAAGAACTTAAATCAAAATTAGTGTCCATGCAGGATGACACATGAAAGGAGAGAATAACAACCAAATGCTTCCACTCTGCGAGAGAAAACAGAATAAAAGGAATAGAAAACACAAATTCTTTGCATAGTATTGTGAACCATTCACAGTGTAGTCAACTGATCATTTCCGAGAACAGCGTAAGGAAACTAGATAGCAGAGCTTTATGCCTAGTCGATACCCTAGAGTAGTAATAAAATGCAGGCCAATAAATTCGATTATAGTTCACAAATAACAGTAACTGATCAAGAAGGTCGGCCGGTGGCCAAAGGGACGTGGTGTCTGTCTTGTATCCCTAGCCTGCGCGCGACTGATGATGGTCGCGTGGCAGCGAGCCGTTGGTACGGCGCATCGGCGTACTGCTGCACATTCAAGGAAGAGACTGAGGGGCTTTAGTAGCGATGGATGGTTTCTCAGTAGGGTTAAGTAGTTATGACTTCGCAGCCTTGCTCAGTTATTTATAAGCAAGTTTTTAAAACACTTCATAAGACGTTGTAGTTATGATAACACAGGGAGGAAACGCTACCGCCTCAACTGAGTAATCAAAGGAGCTTACAGCTCCAAGGTGAGGATATGGTGGTAGCGTCAGAAGAGGTCCACAACAACAGTCAGTCTAATCAAAAGATAATCGGACATAGTGGGAAAAACGCGATGGCGTTATTATGGTGAGAACATTTGAAACTTTTCGGGGAAGCTACTCACCAAGAGACGAGAGAATACGAATTCAAAGTTCGTAGATGAGTTAAAAGAGAAGTTAAACACCGTGTCACTATCAGAAGAAAACTGCGAATACCGTTAGCGCGAATCTCGCCATAGTCGAAATCCGCGGCGAAACTGTACAACTCTGACAATGCGCTCGTGAAGTTAGCATCCAACAATTTATCCAGTTTCTTCAGAGAGAATATGGTACTGTCCGAAGGGCTAATATAATCGCTCCAAGATGGGGGTCTTGTTGCATATTTTGGGCCGATTATGGCAATACATGTACGACACTGAAAGACTGATCAAAATAACAACAGGAAATACCTGTAGATGTACTTCAGAGCACAGTCTTTTGAGTCGAATACAATCGGATTCATCCAAATCTCGTTTAGAAGACATGGTTGCGTGGGGTTTGGTGATGGCAGGGCTGCGCACGCGCATCCGAGCAGTAGAACCTGCTCGTCCGAAAATAGCCCCATAAAGAGTTTGCTGCACGAAAAAAACTGGCAAAAGAAAAAGAGGAAATTTAAAGGCGAAATGCGGAAATGAAGAGGGATGAGTGAGAAAATACTGCAGATGTCATGACCAGATAGAGTTTCTGCCTGTACACACGTAGTTGGGGATAAAGTGATTATTAAATAGAAAATTGGGAAGAAAAAGTATGTTTTGTCCCAAAAAGGGGTCGCAAACAAGACGAAAGTTAATGGACAGCAACTATAGTTCAACATCATCATTGCACGAAGCTAAAGGTAAGGAACGCGCTTCAGCCAATGTACCGAAATCCAAAGAGATTTATGAAAAAGTAAGATACCAATCGTTACGGATGACAAACTACAAACCAAAAGTAAGATATTACCCATCGAGAATGAAATCATGATTGGGGAGGAAAGTCAAAGGGGAAGGGGAGGGACAAAGCAAAGTCATAACGCAAACGCCACTGAGAACCGCTATTCGCCAAGACAACAAGCATGTGTAACCACACGAGTTCGTCACTGGGACCACTGTCTTGCAGTCGGGAGACCCCAATCAACGCCAAGTTTGAAATCGGGGACTTCATTCCTCTTGACTAAGTCATCGTTTCGCATATCCCTCTTTCTCCATTGACACCTGGGGAGCGCAAACAATGCATATCGCGGGAGTTGGTGTGTTGGCATGCGCAACACGTAGCCTAGCCATCGGAGCATGGTGCGTGGCATAATGTCCTTGAGCGATTCATTCGATCTTCCTGCACCGAATATACGACGCCGAACACGTTCACTGCTCACGCGATGTTCCCACCAGACATGAGCTAAGGTGAGAGGAAGGCGATGGTCGAAGGTAACAAACTTCTTTACGTCAGTCGATTTCACAACCGTAGAGGAGAGCTGAATGGACGACTGCATTGTAAACTCCGCCCTTCAGGGCAAGAGTGATGCCGCGTCGACACCACAGGTGGCGAAAGCGCTTCGAGCTTTTGTTGTACGGTTCGTGACCTCATCTGCTATTCCAGAAGCGCTAGTTTAACCTACTTAGATACCTGAATTTCTGGACGACTTCTAGCTGATCATCACAAAGAGTCAAGGAAAGAGTGGATCACAGTCAATTCTGAAGTAAGGATTTGCGTTTCGAGAGTGCAAAGCATAGCCCGAAACGATTAACAACCTTTGTTAATTTGTCCAGTGCCACTTGGCACGTTTTTGAACTGTCACAGTTTAGAGCAATGTCGTCATCATCTGGGAGTAGCTTCATACATTGTAGTTCGTAGCCAGTGAATGCAATTTCCATGACCTCGTCGATGGCGAGGTTAGAAAGGAATGATGACAGCAAGCTACCTTGACTCACATCGCTGGAGATATTGAATTGCGGGAAGTTTGCTATAAATCCTCACTCTGCCCAAACTATGCGCGTACAGCGGTCTTTTGACAAAAGCACATATCTGGCACACTTTTCCTGGTTTAACGGTTCCAAAAGGCACATCAATTCACCTAATCAATGGCACCTTTCATTTAAGTGAACACGATTACGGTGGATTGCCGATAAATATGGCGGTGTCCTAAGAACTGAAGTGGAGTTAACTTGTGGTCAATACAGCCGCGATTTCGATGAAAACCGGCTTGCTCCTAGCGAATCTGGCTTTTATGGGTGCTAGTCAGTTCATGCAGAATGATAGGCACAAGCTAGCAATGGAGATAAGATTAATTCTTCTATGGTTGCTGCATTAAGAACTTGAGCCTCCTTTGAAAACTGGGCTTATGACGAAGTGCCCCCAGTGTGTTAGAGAGTCAAATCCTCGCAGAGATTCACTAGTAAGCTGTGTATCATTCACAAGAGGTGGTACCCTGAATTTGAAAGGAGTTGCGGGAAGTCTATCCGTTCGTGCAGCTTTATTCGATTTAAACAGTCTAATCGTACGTTCGACTTCTGGGTGTGATGGCGCACCTAACGGAGAGCCAAGGGAGCAGGGCGGTTACAAGCCCGTAGCGAGTCTAGTAGTCATATTAAACTGAAAAACAACGGTTGTCTCCATCTCGGATGCAGATGAAATCACCAGAACTCGCGGTGTCTCTTCAGGCTAGCAAGCAGTTTCGCCCTGAGAACTTTGAGAGTTTCAGTGCATTCGCTTCCAGCCGGATCGCGTCGGCGAGCATGCACAAGTTCTAGAGACTGTGTAGAAACCCAATGTCCAGGTTGGCAATTGGACTTGCCACATGAAGGTATGACTGCTTTCCATGACGTCTGGCGTACATGCAACCGGTGACAATCAACTGTGTTCGATGAGCAATTACTCAACCAGCATGCTAACGCAGTTTGATATGCATTCAGAATATCTAGCCTCGCCAGTTGGTGGATGTCTGCGTTCACCGCGTCGTCGAGGGCGTAAGCTGAAGCCAACTCGGAGATGGGCACCTAGAGTGAGTGATTGGAGTCCACGCTCGTTCTCCAAACTGAGTGACAGTTTGAAATACAGCTCCTTCAACGATACCTGACTGTGATATGATCGGTTTGCGTCCACGGCTGGTCGGAGGCTAGTGGGCGTCATGTGACCCTCCGGCAGGTGCTATATCACATAAATGTAACAAACGCTAAGCATTACCAGTACGGGAGCCTACACAGTATTGACCAGCCAGATGCAGCTCATCAATGGACAATATTTCAAGTTGAACGCTTAGATTACCGGTCATCACCACAGCATGCGTACGTTTTCTGTAACGAGTTCCTTTAGTTGGTGAAAGATCAATCTTTCACCGAGTCGGAGCTACTACTTGTGGGGGCGTAGGCAGCAGTGAGAAACAGGCACCGTTTGTCTGTTTGTTCGAAGCATTGACCGAACCAGCCAATCTGACGGCGCACATCCGGCTCTTGATTGGGATCCAATCGAACAAGAGAGTTTCAGCCCGTTGACTCAGAGCAATATCCACACCGGCGTAACTGGCACTTGAAGCTGAGTCATCTTCAGACAAGCGCAACTAGAAAGTGCCGCCAGCGACGTATACGCGGTACCATAAATTAAGCAAAGAGATCGAATCTTAGGAACAGTAGTAATTAGTGGATAGGGTTTCTATTGCTCGGGCGTGTTGCCAGTTGGTCAAGTTGTAACCAAGTGCGTAGGTTGAGGCGTGCGTTTCAGCGAGGATCGAGCGCTTGAAAGAGAAACGGAGGAACAGATGTTGTCCGCTCACCTATTTTGCTCCGAAAAACAAGCAACATCTATGCTTTCGAATGGGCTTGCAAAAGTGTCTGGGGTTTACTCTTCATCTGTAGGTGAAGCAATCAGTGTCACACTGCCGCACAACAGTGGCATAAGTAGGGATAAAAAAGAACTTTCGATCTTTCAAGTCTTTGATCATTGCTGTCTGTGGAGGACTGCTGGTGTCGGGTGGCGCTAATGTATCCGCAACAATGACGTGTGTAAGCGAATGATAACCAGTGATAACCAAGCTAGTTCTTTGGGACAACAGTCAGCGACGAATAAGTTGCGTTGGCTTGGGCAAGTACTAGGAATTCCCGGTCACGGCATATCGGGGAGAGCCTCGTTATGTCTACCAGATGAGGTGGCGCAAGGTTCGAGGTGAACAAAAGTAGACTTGGCAGAGGGAAATGAAGTCAATGACGATCAAGATTGGTGCCGTCGATCCCCCTCGCCTTCGAGGCTGGAGTTTACGTGACCTGCCTTGTGCCTGGCTTGAGACATTACAGGACATGCCTCGCAGACGACATCAGTGAAGCGTCTGCTGTCGTCTCCTAGTCGGAATGCTTGTTGAAAGTGCGTTTGATGCTGAGTTATCTGCGGGGTAATGTATGATTGTGACGCGGGGCAGTGAAAACCGCAAGGAAGGTGTCTAGCTGATGCAGCCTTATCCTTGCACGATAAGCAGCTGTTTGTGATGGTATGTTGTTAAGATGGTGGGGACGCTTTGACCCTGAATGTTTGCTTAGGGTATTAAGATTCCCCGGTAAGTCTCCCTTACCTTCCTCGTAGTATGCTTCGTTCCGTAGGTCGTTATGGTTGTATGGCAGTGAAGCATCAGTTCAAATAGCTAATGTACTGTTATTGATGATGAGGCTCACCTTTCCTGGTCACCTAATATGAGAAAACCGGAAATGATTAACGAGTCTAGTCTTTATCATCGGCAACAGCAGTACATCAGAAATGTAAGCTGATGCTTCACTAGCGTACAATCACGAGGAAATAAGGAAAGAACAATAAGGGAGAAGGGGACTTAACGGAGGACCTTAATGTCCTAAGCAAATATTCAGGGTCAAGGCGCCTACAGCTTGTCAACAACATACCGTCACAAACAGCTGGCTATCGTGCAAAGATAAGGTGGCATCGGCGAGATATCTTCCTTGCGGCTTTTATTGCCACGCGTCATAATTAGCCATTATTATGCTGATAACTCAAAACCAAACACAATATAAACAGGCAGTCCGACTAGGAAATGACAGCAAGCGCACTTGGTGCCGACTGCGAGTCACGACGTATTAAGTTTTAAGTCAAAAACAAGGCGGGTCAGGTGGACTCTAGCCCGCATCGACAGCGCCAAGTTTGGTAGTCAGTTACTTCATTTCACTCTGCCAAGTTAGCTTTAGCCCACCTCGGGTCTTGCGCCACTTTAAATCTGGAAAACAAAAAGCCCCCCCTTCGGTAAGCGAAGATAAGGCATACGTAGTAAGTGCCCAAGCCAACGCAACATATTCAGTGTTATCTGCTGCTCTGATGAACTAGCTTGATAAGCATTGTCTAAGAATCGCCTATGCACATCGTCTTTGCGGAAACGCTGGTGCCACCCGACAGCAGCATTGTTTAGCAGACAGCGATGATCAAAGACTTGAACACACCTCAGATCCCAAGATCGATGGGGCTAAATCTCACTGCCATGCGGTAGGGCGGCCCTCACTGTGCCCTAGTAAACACGGCCTTTCAGACGGAGGGAAACCACCTTTTGACGTCACATGTATTGCAGATTCAAGGTATTTCCAGCTTCTATAAGATATAAACTGATTTTAGTGCTTATGCGTCCAT